GTTTTCCCTAAAATTATTAGCAGAGTAAACGATGAATGCTTTGGCAGCCTATTTAAAGTGTTTTCTCCTGTGTTTCTCTCACGATTGCAAAGTGCACCTTTTCCCTTTTTATCACAGATAAGTAACTGAAAAGTTCAGATGGCAAACACAACATGTACAGCTTTAATTTTGTACCTCTGCCTGGCGATAATCCTGAAGTCTGGAAAATTCATCTGCAAAGTTTATCAGTCCAACTTTTAAGTTCGGTGTCTCTGTGGCTGCATATGCACGTATTTCATTTACTAGAAGATCTGCTTTGTCTCGTAGTCTGGCAGTTTTACGTACATATCCAGCAAATATTTGGCACAATTCACCAAAATGTTTTTCCACATTTGAAACAGCATCTTGTATTTTTCTAGTCTGATCGTCCCTGGATACCAAAGAAAAATAAGTGGAAAATAAGAAAGGGACAAATGTTTACAACACATACAGAAGAAAAAACATATAATTATACTATCAATAATTCATACATGATTTGCACATCTCATTTCAGTGCAAAACAGAAATCTGTTCTTAAAAAGATAATGCTGTAACTGACTGATGTAATACGTGCTTATTTATGAATGAATTTTTATACTTAAAAATAAAGATCCAATAGAGGAAAACCCAAATCACAAAAATCAGCTGGGAAGTTTTCCTCCTGTGGTTATGCAAAAGCTCACTATTACTGTTAGTATTAATTACTAACTCAGTGGTAAGACCTGCAGGTCTCAAACAAGACTGGGTCATGTGGCTTCCTGCAAGAGTTTGCAATCTAAACAGGCAAGTCAATGGCTGGAGAAATGAGGCAGTAGAGGGCAAATCTGTAAAGGCATCAAATGCTCTTTAAACTGTGAACAGGTACGAAACCGCTCCTGGTCAGCACTACAGAGGACAAACACCCCTGAGAATTAGAGAAGAAAAGTAAATGGACATAAGTACAGAGATGAAAACACTAAGAACACAGAAAGGACATTCACCACACCAACAAATTATTTTCTTTTAAATTATATTAATGTAATTCATTTTCTTATTTGAACCAAATGCCTGCATGGTTCATTATTAATGATCTAGATAAGTAATTAAGAATTTTTAATTCATGTATCACTTGATATTTTGCTTTCTTATTCCTACATCATTTGATGGTCTTGCTTTAGTTATGCTTCGTGATGCTATTAAACCAAATCAGTGTCAATGAATTCATGTCAGTTGTTGATCTGACTGAATCAACTATAGGACAATTTAGCTAACAGTAACTGCCAAATACTGGGTCCTAAGAAGTCTCCATGGTCTACATGAGGTGATTCATGTGAAGCGCTGGAATCTTCAGCAAGAGAGTTCACTCACACCACTCACAGTCTTGGTGAGAGACAGAAATGAAAATTTTCTTCATATCCTTAAACTATCCCAGCTCCAAATGCTGACCAATATTTAAATACTGACTTAATATCAGGACACATGAAAATCAGAAAAATTGGAAGAGATATTAAGACTAAACAACGACGCAGTCAATTCAAATGAACACCTTTCTTCAGGAACCTCTCAGGAAAAATATTTCAGACCAAAGTTCTGCTATGGGCAAAAGCCCTGTTGTCTTGCTTCATGGCAAGTAGTCTAGAAGACTGTCCAAAAGAGATTTTGTTCAAAGAAAACAAGAATTCCAAGTAAGCTGTTCAGTCCCTCCAGGACATGCTTGAGCACGGAATCATTTGAATAGGAAAGGTTTCACTCGGGGAGCATGAAAGTAGGAGTTTCATTAAGTATTAATAAAGTTGTTTATCAAAACTAATACTATCTTATAAAATCTCCAGTAAAAGGTACAACTTTCCTATTTTATTGGAAGGTCTTCATGTCAGGAAGTGTTCCTCTCCCAGGGGAAGCCTCAAGCACGTTTCCTCACCCACTTTACCATTCTGATCTCACAGTACTCTCATTCAAATAATATTTAATTTTGGCACATGAAACACTAGGTGAGGATGTGAAAAGTTTGGGGGTTTTCCTCCTTCTAATTCTTTTTGACGGCTTAGAGGCGGCCACAAAACTACCACCGAGAGGCTCGATTAAACCGGCAAGTCTTTACTTCATCTTTGCATTCCACACTAAGCCTAGAAAAGTTTGGCGGCCTTTACCCGAGGAAAAGAAAGGCGGATCCCCCACCCCTAGGGAGGTTCGCTGCTGCAAGGGGGACTGGGCCCGCATCGCCCCCAGACCCCCGCGCCACCCCCGGGGTACCCTGCCCGAAACGGCCTCCTCCCCTGCCCGGCAA